CGGGGAACGTTGGAGTCCTCCATCACTGAAGCAAGCAAGCCTCATGTTAGTTTCAAGCTGCATGGCTGCCGGCCGCCATCTTGGCTGGCAGTTAATTTGCATATCTCGCTGATTAGCCAATGGGAAGGGTAGCGGTTGTACACCAATTACCATGTTTCTCTTTTATTAGATAGGATAAGGATGGAATAGTCATGATGTTAGATGAAGGGGGACGTTAAGAATGTGATTATTTCTACTTTCCATTAAATTCAGCACTTTATCATCTAATTCAGTATTTTAATGATGATCTACGCAGGGGTGGGAACGTTGGCCTGCAGGCCATATAAGGCCTGTGATATCATTCGGTTTGGCCCTGCCAAGGCATCAGGGGTGAGTTAATTAAATGTTTGACCAAATATAGCAGGCTAATTTTTAAGTTGATAATTTTGTGTAGCCCACAAATGATGTTATAACTATCCAAATGGCCCTTGGCAGAAAAAAGGTTCCCCACCCCTGATCTACAGGGTGGAACTGGGGAAGGTAGAGAACATTATTGGTGCCCTCTGCTCCCCGAGTGAACTGCAAATTGCATCTATTCTATTATCCATAACTGCAGTCAAAGGTAATGGGAAAGGTTAAGGAATTTGCTTTGCACCTTTGTAAGAGATTTTTTAAAAAAAATAAAGGCTGCATATTTTCTGAAAGGTGTATCTTTCCCCCGAGTGACACAAAGCTACATGCCACCACAGGATCAATGTCACAGACAATGATGGTGAGAATCGGAAACTGGCCTGCTGCCTGGAGTGATGGTGGTCCTCCACTTTGGAGCACTCTTTCTTTGTTGTTGTTGTTTTTTCTCTGAAAACTTACAAAAATTAACCGATTACCCAAATGAAAATATTTATGAATAACTAAGCTCCTTGGGAAATATACATTTACATAGGCTTTTTAAAAAAGTGATTCAGTAAGTTTTTGGTACAATGAAGGGTACAATGAAGAATAATTCATTCTATCTATATCCCATCACTAATTTGGATTAAAATATTTAAAGTATTTAAGATTCAGCAAAAAATATTTAAGTTAAAATTTAAAAGACCCAATTAAGGTCAGAAAAGAATATCAAAACCCTTCTCCCTGGAAATATAGCACAAAATGTAGGGAATATGGTCCATGACATAGGTTGCAGATTTTTGAAATTGCCTATATTTTATAAATTTTATAGCTTTTTCTTTAATCATAAACTTCTAATTAAGTAGCTATTAAAATAATCCATTGTGCAAAATAATTTTTCTAAAAATCCTCACACTTCAATGACACCCTCTTGCAGGACAGAAGGTACATTTAGAGATTAGCCATGATGCACACTAATATTTGAGAATGAAATTGTAGATACTGATGTTCATATTAGAACGTGCTGAGCAAGTTATAAATAACTATGAAAGGCCTGCATGTGCTGTCCACATCAGTGTCTTATACTGGGTCTCCAGAATGGTGACTTCTTGCCAAAAACCACACACCTCCTAGAACTCAGTGGCCTGCTAGTTCCCATTCCAGGTCCTTCCGAATTGGTCTTCTCCCTCTTCCTTTCCTCTCCTCTTCTCCCTTCCTTTTGTCCTCCTCTTCTCCTCTCCTCCTCCTCCTTCTCCCCTATTCTCCTTTTAATTATTTGGGACATGCCAAAAATATAAATTATACCTCAATGATCACATCTAGACCCACCATTCAGTTCACAAATTAAGCTATTATAGTTATAATTGAAGCCCCTGTAGCTTTTCACTTCCTAAAAGTAGCCACCATATATATATATATACACACACACATATACATATCTCCCAGGATATCTTACTATATATTTATATCTATCTGAAAGGGATGTTTCATGAATAGGCCTCTGATGTATTATATTTCATCAATTGATGTATTATATTTCATCAATTTAATATGAGTCTATAGTCAATAAATGGATTCCATTACTGGATAATGGGTTGTAGTCCACAGTTGGGACTACTAGCCCTCATGAACACTGCTCTCTACGGGTCTTCCTACTCATGAAATATTTTCGGCCAGAAGAAGCAAACAGAATGGCTGGTGAAAGGTTAAAGTCACACTTGAATTCCTGAGCAGGATTAGTCTTAGGAAAAGGGGGAAGCTATGTATGACTCAGCTCATAGTTGCCAGAGAAGGCTATGCCCTTCGAATACAGTGTGGGGCAAGGGTAGGTTTATAATTGTTTGTATGGAAAACAATACAGCACAAGAATTCATAAATAATAATTCAAGAAAAACTCTGTGTTTCATTTACTCACAACTGTAAACCTATTTTTGCCCCACCCTATGTATGATCTTATCTGCACCTTGCTTTGGTGCTCACATTGAACCATCAGAGAGAGACTCATTCATTCTTGAAAAGTTAGAAGATTTCAAGATTACTAATGCAAACTCTATGCTTTTTTGCAGAAATTTTGTTCTTAGGGATTAGTTAACCCCCACCTGAGAGCATGGTAAGGATGTGGAGGGAGTGGAAGTGGTAGAAGGCATGTGCATCAGAATGAAGAAAACTGGAGGTGAAGGGTGCCCAGGACAAAATTTTACTCTCATAATTTGGCCTACAGAATGCAATCTATTTTTCAGAACCAAAAACATTGAAAGAACTGAGATAACTGAGATAAACAAAAGAAAAATGGACTGTGAAAGTCTGGGTTCAAATTTCAGATGAACTTTTAAGATGAAGGAGCATTCATTTCACTATGTATCGTTTTAATATTGAGTGTTAGGCATTTAAAGGTCTAACCTTCTGATTTGAAGATCGAAGTTAATGCTCACGTTTGTTTTCTCAAGACGTAGAACTGCAAATCGGAGGCCCAGAGAATACTAAATTAAAAAAACACACAAACACACACACACACAAATACAACACACTACGTTATTACATGGGAGGAACCTTATACACAACATAAAATATTTTACAGTTATCCTGCAAAACACCACTCTGGATTACCGTTCCTTTTTCTGTTTTTATCCTGGATGGCTGAGAGCTGAAAGAAAGTCATGCAATTGAGACAGACAGTAGGGCCCAGACAATGCCAGTCCTTATACATTTTGGTTTCCTCTCTTCACTTAGCCCCATACCAACTCTTCTCCTGACACCTTGTTGTGTGCCAAATTAAAAAGAACCTAAATATACGAGGTGAGTGATTTAGTAAACTGTGGTTCTATTTTATGATGGACATTTATGTAGTCTTTGAAATCATGGCTATGAAGCCTATGCAACAATGTGGAAAATGCTTATGACGTTATGATGGTCAATAAATAAAAAATATTACAATGTTGTAGGTGCAATGTGCTTCAGCTATGGTTTTAAACGTCTATCAGTGGAAAAGTTATTGTATAGGAGTGAGAATGTATTGTAAGAAAATATACCAAACAATATATTATGCTATGTTAAAGTTATAAATGTGTAATTTATTTTTTCCACCTTTATTTTCAAAAGTTTTAAAACTCTTTTATTATTTTTATAATTTGAAAACAGATTTTTAAACTTGGATAAAAATAAGTCCAGTGATAATATAAATGAGGTAAAAACAATAGATAAGACATATAGTGATAATAGTGCCTCTCCCGTGTACTATACTAACCCTAACATGCATTGTTTCATGAAATCACAGCAACCAGTCCATGAGGTAGGGACTGTGATTGTTGACATTTTGCAATCAAGTAGCAATCTGAGGAGTAGAGTGTTTAAGTGACTTGCTCCAGATACAGAGCAAATAAACTGCAGAGTTGGAATTGAAATCCCTCCAAGCTGACTCCAGAATCTGTCTCCACTACACTACACTATGAGAATCAAATCTGTAATTAAAAACTCAGGTTAATATGATGCAGTAATAAGATGAACTAATAATACATTGTCAATTTTATCACAAATCACCATTTTACTAGCCCTTACTGAATGTGCTACAAGCCAGGTACTGCCCTAGTGTAAAGCTACTAGTGGTTATATCACATCATTGCATGGCTCCAAACATTCCTGCAATAGTTATTCTCCCACTTCTATGTGCCTTGCCTGAGGCATCACAGCTGATAAATGGCAGTTGGGATTTAAACCCAAGTATGTCTAATTATTAAGCCTACGCATCCTAATGTCCCAACCATGCTGAATACCTTTATTATTCCAAGTGTGCAATTTTCTGTCAGACCTCTGCGCCTTTGCAACATGCTCTTCTTTCTTTGGAAACCTTGTAAGCCTTTCCCTGCTTTCTCTACTTGGAGAACTCCTGCTCATGTTTCAAAACTCAGGATGAGAGATGCCTACTGTAATACATCCTCTGATCCCATAGGCCTGATCAGGCAGAAATTTTCTTTTTATTTCCTCTCTCTCTATCTTTGCTGCTCTGTTATCACTCAACCTATGATATCGCTAATTTTGAGTTTTTAATTGAATGGAGGTTGTATATTTTCATCTTGATATTGTCAGATTCTAGCTTAGTCAGGCATCTACAAGGGATGGCAATAAAACTGGTTATCTATAATAATAAAAGTGTAATATGCAAATTGACCGAATGGCCAAACAGTAGAATGACCATCTGGATAACCTTCTGGATAAAACTGGGGCCGCGAGGGTGGCCGAGGCAGCTGGGGCTGTGAAGGCCTACTCTTGCGCGTATTTCATGCATTGGGCCTCTAGTTTCTCACAAAAAAAGAATGATGAGAAAGAGCGGGCCATTGTTTGTACACTTCCAGGGATGGGGATCTTACTATATTGTGATGAAGTCTACCTAATGTTGGTCTTCATTATAGAACAATTCAGTGTGGGGTGAAGATAAAAGGTGTGACAAATTCATACTAGAAAAGATACACATGTTCTTAAGTGGAATCTAAAACCAGATCTCTGGGCATTGATTCTAAGGAGTCATTGTTGAACCACTATTTTCTTGTTTTCCTGTTTAAAAGATTTTGCAAATTTTTATGAATCTCATTGGTATGTAAATATTTTATATTACTGTAGCTATTCTATGAAAATGACATTACTACTTACAAATCAGAAGTAAGACTTCTGAATACTGCCGTGAATATTTTGTTAAATTAAAACATAAAGTTGCTTGAAAACTATTATGATGTTTTTTAATATTTAGGACTGCTTTTACCTTTGGAATTTTACTACAGCCCACAAGAGTCTTTTTTTTTTTTATGAAGGAATTTTGTCTTTATTTCGTAGTTAATTGGATAGAAACAAGAGAAAAACAGCAAAGTTCTGATAAAAGTAAAAAAACACTAAATTGGGAATCCTGAGACCTGAGTTTAAGACCTAACAGAGCAATTTTTCATCAGTGAGAGGCAAGTCTTTTACCTCCTTTATGCCAGAAGAGTCTCATGAATAAAACTGAAATCCTCCCTCCTTACATCATAGGGTTTTTATGAAGATTATTTAAAAAAATAAAGACTACAAGCTTTTATAGTATACACTTGGAGACAAATTTAAGATAATGTTATTTTGTACTTTAAGTTTTAATTGTTTTAACTTTATGTTTTGAAATAATTTCAGATTTACAAAAGAGTTGCAAAGGTAGAGACTTCCTGTATGCCCTTCAAACATCTTCCTCAAATGCTGAGGAAATACAATTGCTAAAGCCAAGAATTAATATGAATAAAATACCATTAACGAGAGTATTCTTTTTAAAGTACAAAATGAAGTAAATAAATCAAAGTGTTTTATAACAAAACAGAATACAATAAAATTGAATGTGCTTAAGGGCATTAAAAAGTGAGATAAGAAAGCTATTAGGTTTCTTCCACTATAGACCTCAGAGATAAATGAATAGAAACAATTTACTTCCTTGACTTCTAAAGATTACTTGCTGATAAAACGGATTGACATGGTTTCACATAAACACATTTGTGGTTAAGACCACACTGTCATTTTACCCTCCACTTTGAATGTCACTGGTGGTCAGTTTCTGTTCCATGATTATTCTTAGTTATTGATGAGTTTAGATGACTTCTGGTCTAGATTTAATACTTTTAATACTGATAAAAAGAAATTAGTGCCCAGTCATCTATTGATGTTAACACCATTGCCACCACGTCAATTCATTTCTCTTTGGCCTTAAGGAGAACTCTTCATATCAAATTAGGTGGTTGGATTGTGGTTGAAAATTAGTAAAAGGATTTATTAGCTTCTAGAGAAAAGGATTCTAAAGAAAAATGTTCTAATATCTCAGCTTAAATTTCCATTCTGTCTTTCATGGCCTCGTTTAAGTATCTCATCTGTTACCCATTAGTTTTCACCCAAGTACTCATTAGAATTTTGTAGACAGGCCTGGTTCAAATCGTGGGTCTGTCCTTCATTACCTGTGTGATTTGGGGCAATTCATTTGACTTCTCTTGAGTCTCAGTTTTCTCATCCATAACATAGGAGAAATACCTGACCCATAAAGTAGTTGGTTGTTGTGAAAATTAAATGAGACAATATTGAAAAACCACCCAGTAATGGGTTTATAACACAGAGGATCATCAATACATGGTAGCTTATAAAAGTTGATCTTTCATTTAAATATTTACTTGTTTTTAACCAAGAAGTGAGCTTACTAGTCTGTATAGCTTAGTACCTTTTTTAAAAGTACCCAGTATCAATGGTACAGTGTTTATTATAATATAAAGAAGCAAAAATATTTTTCTAGCACAATATCCTAAAGTATAAATTGGGAATAGGTATTTGTGGGGTTTTTTTCTTAAAAAACTTTTTTTAAATCCTCACCCGAGGATATGTTTTTCTAATTGATTTTAGAGAGAGAGGAAGGGAGAGGGAGAGAGAGAAAGAGCAATGTGAAAGAGAAACATCAATCGGTTGCCTCCCTTATGAACCCTGACCTGGGCTTCTGCCCTCCCCAGGAATCGAGTCTGTGACCCTTTGGTGTACAGGACGGCTCTCTAAATAACTGAGCCATACCAGCCAGGGTGGGAATAGGTATTTCTTGATAGAAACTTTCAAAGGCTCAAACACATGTGTGAAACTCTGGCTGAGATGTTTATTTACTGTATGCAGCACTTCTCAGTAGCTTTAAAATGCTACGTGCACCTGAGGATATGACATTCAGCAATGACCACAGAACTCTTCTTTAAAGGCTATCTCAAGGGATAAGGTCTCTTTGGAATATAATTTTGGAAGTTGTTCTAATACAAACCTATGAAATTATAAATTTTTTTTCAAACTATTCCATTGATCATCATAAACATCTAATTTAAAATAGGGGAATGTATATGTTTAGTTCAAGTAATATTTAATTATGTAGTATTTGCAGATTTCAGAATACGTTTCTGATTTATGACTTCAGAAAATAACTATTTCCACTGTGATATTTATTACAAGAAGTTCCTATGTAAACATGTAAACAGCAATTGCATTAAACGAATGTTTTGTCCACAAGTAACACTGAATGGGAAATCCCTAAATCTGGAAACAAAGGGAAAAAAGGAGGAGGAGGAGAAGCTGGTGAAGGAAGAGAAGAAAGAAAAAGAGGAGGAGGAGTGGTAAGGGCTGGGGGAGGGGGAAGAAAAGAGGAAATAAACCAACTCATTATTTCATGAGCATGTTACAGATCATTATTAACCCTTTCTTTTTCTTACTACATTTTTCTGTATTCTTCTTCAGGTAAAATATATTATTCTTCAAGAAGATACCAGTTCTTCAAGTAATACCTAGTAAAGCTGATTTAAAAGCTGAATTATTATAATATTTTAATATGAAAGTACTGTGAATGATATATGGGAGGTATATTAGAAATAAAATTTTAATCATCTTTGCTAAAATTTTTAACTGTTATTCTTAAATACTTATATTTATTTTTTAATTCAAGAAAAAGTTGTAGTAAATCCAAAGAAAAACAGTCAACAAAAAATCTGTAGTAAAAAAAAAAAGTATTTATAGACTTGTGACAAAAGATGTGTGAGTGGTGTTCAAAGAGAAAGCATACAAAAATATTCATCTTTGTTTTTAACCTTAGATTATCCACTCTGTTGGTTATAATGCTAAATCCCACTACCCTGGTCTGGTAATTTCCTGCCTAATTTGTTTTAATTGCTATGTACTAAATTGCTGAGTGCTAATTGGGGAGCTTTCCATTAGTTTCTTTTAAAATTCAATTAGACATAAATCAGTAAGTGCTTCTGGTTTTCTCTTACGTTTGTTCCAGCCACCATCGGGTTCCCAAGGTCACACACCACCATTCTGGTTACATTTTCCATCTTGTACTCACAGCTCAGTGGTCGGAATCCCTACAACAGGAAAGAACACCGAGGTGGAGTTCAGGGGCATATAAATCACATCCTGTCACAAACGCAACTCTGGGGGTGGGAAGCTCCTCTTGATTTCAAACACCTGTAGGGGCAGCTGTGCCCAAGAATTAATTTGTGACCAACTCAGAAGAAAAACTTGAGAAAAAAGATTGAAGTTTAATTTTAGAAAAAAAGTTTTTAGATTGGTAAACCCAACTATTGTGTTTCCTTGGCCCTCCTCCCCCTCAAAAGCTTCCTATAGTATTTATACAAATATTCTAGAAATTATTTTCACTGTTAACATTAAATTAGGGCCATGAAGATCACAGATAATTCAACACAGCTAATTTATTCTTACAAAAATGAAATGGCAATAATTTGTATACATGATCATATGACCCAATGACCATTTGCAGGAGAACTGCTTTGAACACAAATTTCTACACATCATGGTCCCATTTTGAGATTACACAATCAATCGTAGTTCAATCCTAAACATTTATGCTGGAAAGAGAACACTTATATGTTGACCCAGTGCTTCCTGTCTCCCTTCTTCCCCGTGCATCCTATTCTGATTAGAATGTACAAAAACTCAGGTTTGAAGAGATGCTTAGATCTATGTTGGAGAAGGTCTCAAGGTTACACCAGAGAAGAAGGGAAAGAAAAGAAGGTTTATCTTTGAACTCGTGCTGTCTGCTCTCAGCTCCACCTGTGTCCTCATGTTACTCCCAGCTGCCTAGAAATCCACAACTTATTCTCTACCCTGAGCCCTTACCATATTTCAAAACCCAATGTCCCGATGGCCCTGCTCTGCCATTGGTGATAGCGACCAACGTGTTCACCCATTATTCCATCAAACTTGGTAAGTGCTACTAATATATCACCTGTGAGAAAGAGGTGAAGGGATTAAGAAGTACAAATTGATAGTTACAAAATAGTCAAGGGGATGTAAAATACAGCATAGGTAATACAGTCAATAATATTGCATAACTAAGTATGGTGCCAGTTTAGGACTGGAAATATCAAAGGGGAATGCTATGTAAAGTATATGATTACCTAACCACGATACTGTACACCTGAAGCCAATACAAAATAATATTGAAAGTGAACTGTAAGTGGAAAATAAAAATTAAACTTCTAAAAGAACTCACAAAAAGCTGTAATCTTCATTCCCAAAGATAAGCTTACAAGATTAGGACAGTTACAAAGGAGCAATCTTTTGGAGATTTGTGCCCCATGAGTTCATGGAAGAGCATTCTGAATATGAGGACCATGTATCCTTTAGCTATATTGAAATTTCATGTAAAGAAGTAATGTGAATTTTCAAGTAAAAGTTTCAGAAACCATCCTCCATTCCATCTTTTCTACTTTATTGAGAAAAAACAAGATTTAAAACCAAAACAAAGAAAAGCCAAACAAACCCCAGATATCTAGATAAAGAATTCTGTAGGTAGATCATATGCTTTGAGAAAATAAGCATCAGGAGGAAGGGGGCTTTGTATCTGTCCTATTCCCAGTGCCTAGAGCAGTGTTTGGAGAGAAGGAGAGGGTGTTGGGAGATAACAGTGACAGTAGCTCACACTCTGCTAAGGAGAAGCCTTTGATGAAATAGACAAACACACAACTAACTATAAAGTACTTCTCCTTAATCACCCTGGTAATTCTCTTCCTATAGCATCCATTGAAAGTCTGTCCCAAGTCATGAGAAAGGAGTGAATCACTCATATTTGGAGGCTCTTTTAATACGTGCTCTTTCCAAATATAAATGAATGACATGTCAGTTTCTGATGGAGGTAAGAAACATATTTTCTTTTTTAAATTGAATTTATTGGAGTGACATTGGGTAATAAAATTATACAGGTTTGAGGGGTTCAATTCTATAATCATCATCTGTAAATTGTACTGTGTGTTCAACATCCCAAGTCAAGTCTCCTTTCATCACCATTTATCCTCCCTTTACCCTCTCCTACTTCCCCCACCACACTTTCCCTCACAAATCACCATACTGTCATTTGTGAGAACTGTTTCTTAATCCCTTCATTGAAACGTATTTTTTAAAAGCTGGTAATATTCTCTATCCTGAAAGTACCTTTAGCATCTTTCAACCTTAAGAATTCCTAACTAATTCAAGTCATACAGAGATGTTTTGTGTTGAGATTATTAACTCAGGCCTGAAAACAAAAAAGAAACACAGCAAAAGCTTTTAAAAATGCCCATGTATCCCCTGAATATAATTCAAGGATTCAGTTTCTATAGTAAATATTTTTATCTTATCTAAAGGTTAAAAGTTATATATACATTTTTCCAGCTTTCTAGAAATAGCTTTTCCACATCAATCAAAGTTATTTCTACTCCACAGGCCATCACTCTTTTTTTTAAACCTTTATTTCCTCTCTGAGTGAGAGAAACAATAATTGTTTTTCTAGATATTTCTAGATTATTTTCCTCCGCTGTTCCAGGAACACTCTTGTTCTAACCCATTTATAGCTCTAAGGGTATCATTCATGCATTTATTCATTCACTGAAAATATTTACTGTTATTTACTAGAAAGTTGCCCTCACTGAATTTTCAGTTATTACAAATGCAGTAAGTGATCACAAGCAATTGCAACAAGCAATGGAAACACAGTACAGTTTGCTAAGTTTATGGTAGGAGAAATTGGTAGTGATAGAGGAGGACATGCACATAGATTTAAGGAACCAGAAAAGGGAGCAGTGATTAAGCATGGGGCCTGGACTTAACAGCAGAGGTTTCAATCTTGGCTCCGCTACAGAATAGCCATGTAACTTTCTGCGTGTTACCCAATTTCTCCTTATCTACACAATGGAGGTGATGATAGCCTTGCCATTTCTCTATAAAGCCGTCATGAGAATTAAGTAAATGTATTTTGATCCATTTCCACACCAGACCAATAGCATACCATATTCATTTCAAAAGCCACACATTTATAATTTTTAAGTTTTTACTCCTCATTAAGACTATAATTGATAATGTTAAGCCCATTTGAATTGTAATAATGTGGGATTTATTAAAACTACAATAAATTTGGCTTTTTAACTAAGAATTATTGCACATTGGAGAAATCTAGACGAATATATATGAAAAAATTTTCACTAATGAAAATTTGGATATTCATAATCATCATAATAATTTGATTATAACCCACATAGGTTGATAAATACTTAACTAAAAATATTAAAGGTAGTTCTAGAACCAGAGAAAAATCATGCTATGACTTAAAGCATTATAAAAAAGAAAGAAAGAAAATATGCAGAGCTTAGAGCAGCGCCCAGCCCATAGCAATTGCAAAATAAATTTTAGCAGTCGCAGTCGTTAGTAAACTGAGGCCTAAAGAATGACTGGAAAGAAGTACCGTATTTGCCGGCGTATAAGACGATTTTTTGGCCCTGAAAAATATGCCTCCAAGTGGGGGGTCGTCTTATACGCGAAGTACGCTTCATATAAGCTGCCCATAGTGCTTTCTGTCCTGCTGGAATTGAGGGTGTGAGGTAAAGGGAAGATGCTGTTTACCGGTAATAAACTTGCACTGTTTTATGTATATGTTTGATTACATACAGCCTTGTGACAGTTTTCCTGCATGTCATAAGCATTTGAATATAAATTAAAATGTTAAAATCAAATCTGATATTGTTTTACCTTTTATTTGGTGTGTGGAAGGTGTGCGGAAGAGGGGGTAGTCTTATATGGCGAGTATATAACAAACTCTGTATTTTGAGTGGAAATGTTAGGGGGTCGTCTTATACGCCCAGTCGTCTTATACGCCGGCAAATACGGTAAGCCGGATAAAGGGGAGGAGGAAGTAGTCAGTGTGTCAGAGAGAAGGAACTGCAGGGACAAGCTTTCCGGTGAGAGCATGCAGGGCTATCACAGGAACGGAAAAGAAACTCTGTCCTGCTGGAATTGAGGGTGTGAGGTAAAGGGAAGATGTGGCCGAAGGGGTATATAATTTAGAGGGGACATAATTAAGGGCATTGTTAGTCATCTCAAGGATCTGGACTTTATCTTAAAGCAATGGGGAGCTAGTGAGGGTTTTAAGCAAAAGAATGACGTGGTCAGATTTGCATCATAGAAAGAGGGCTTCCTTTCAGGAGGCAGGGAGATGGGGACATGAGTTAGGAGACTGCTACAGTGCGCTCAGGGGAAAAAAATCATTCCAGTCTGCATGAAGGCAGTGACAGCGGCAGTTAGATAGAGGCTGTGGACCGGAGAGATTTCAGACCAACTCAGGCTTCAGAAATTAGGTGTATTCTGGTGCCACTCTCTGAGATAGGAAATGGAGGGGAAGAGGAGGGATGTGAGTGTGGAAGATGGAAAGTCTAGTTCTGGACACGCTGACTGTGGGGCAGGTGTGAGACAAAGGAGTGAAGTGGAGTACATGGGGAGCCTAGAATCGCCAAATTCCTAGAGATAGAAAGTTGAATGGCGGTTACAGGGCCTGGAAAGAGGGGGAATTCGAAGTTAGTGTTTGATGGATACAGAGTTTCAGCTTTGCAAAATGAGAGGAGTTCTATGGATGGATAGTAGTGATGGTTGTACAATGGTGTAAATGCACTTTATGTCACTGAACTGTACAGTTTCAAATGATAAATTTTATGTGACATAAAATATACTAATGCAATAATAGTAACAGATAAAGCATATAAGTGATTCCCAACCTTTTTTTGGCCATGCCCCACCTAAGCATCTCTAAAATCCTGATACCGCCCCCTGATGACATATAATTCTTATTATTCGAAAAGTGAACTATTCACATGGAGGAAACCCAAAAGGCCATTATCTTGGTCTAATCAAGCTTCCAAAGAACATGGCATCCATGAAAGAGAAAAATAAAAGAATGAAAGGACAGTTGAAGTACTGAGTAAGAAATCACTAAGAAATTGTTTAAAAATAATATGAGTGATATGAGGAAATAGCAAATAAAGTTTCAAAACATATAACAAAGAACTGAAATGCATAAATATGTCACAATATTTATTTATATACTGTATATGAGGTCCCTAGAACCATAAGAAATGCAAAAATTCACTTTTAATAACTCATTCTCAAATTTCTCCCCTTAAAAATCAAATTGCCCCCTGTAGGGTGCGTGCTACACATTGGGAACTACTGACATAGGTCTTTATTTCTAGAAAAATTTAGAAGGAAGGTCACCAAAAGGAAGGATAAAGGTTGGCTCAGTTAAGGTGTCCAGAGAAAGAGATGATCACCATCTACATTTTTAAAAATATGTTTTTGTTTATTTCAGAGAGGAAGGGAGAGGGAGAGAAAGAGACAGAAACATCAATGATGAGAGAGAATCAACTGGCTGCCTCCTGCGCTCCCCCTACTGGGGATCAAGCCTGCAACCTAGGCATGTGCCCTGACTAGAATCAAGCCTTGACTTCGTGGGTTGATGCTCAACCACTGAGCCACATGAGCCGGGCCACTGTCTACATTTTTTAAAAGATCAATGTTTTCAACAAAAGATAACAAAACTTACAATCAGATAATCCCAATACTTTCCTAATGAGAAAAAATTGTTTTAAAAATACTTGAACTTATTTTAAATTAAAAAAATACACAAATCTCAAACTGCTTAAAAACAAAGAAGAAATTAGAAGGTGACTTACTTATTAAAATTCAA